TCAATACCAGAGGCAGAACCACATGGACCTCAGATCCGATTCCAGGAGAACCTACAGACTGAAGTACCTTCAAAAAAAGGTAATTAAAAAGTGAATTAAAATAAATGTAAGGCGGAACTGGGGACACATGTTTTATTATTCACACAGGAAAGGTCATCTCTGTCCTTTAAACGCACAGTATGTAACTTCTGCCTCAAATGGAAATAGTGTGGGCTCATGGGATTTTAGGTGCTCCATCACCGTCATCTTCTCCCAGTTTTGATTCTTTCAGTGTCCGTTCGTCTGGAAATCAAACAGACCTGGTCATTAGAACTGTAAAAAACAATTAATAAAATAGTTTCACATTCAATTTTGAGCTTCTGGCAGGCAACCACAGCGCCGACCCATGCATATAGGGGATGTGCTATCATTGACAGGCGACCCAAATGACACAGCTTTACCATAGTAAAATCATGTATTTGTCTTTGAAACTTTGTGGTTCATGGATTTAAAAGTTTACGCCTAAAACGGAATGACCAACCGGTTTTGTTGAGTATGACCCGAGGCTGCAGGAGAACCTCCAGTAGTCTCCTCTGCCGGTCGATCTCCTCTCTGAAGCCCGACGCCTCCTCCTCGTACCCGGCTACGAGTCCGTCCACGGCCGCTAAGATTTCCTGGGAGGCGGCGGCGAGTCTCTCAGTAACAAATCCTCTCAGAACCTCGGACTTAGACATTTTACTGCAAGTCTCGCTTCAATCCGCCGCGTGTCATGGACAATCTTACTCGACTGCTGTTCCTCGCAGCGCTGCCCCTTTCCGGTTCCGGTACGTGCTTTAATGTCATCCGAATAGAAACCGCGACCCGCGCTAACCTTTACTTTTCATCTTTCTTTGCGCAGGTCGCGGTTTCTACTCGGATGACATTTGTGCTCGCACCCAAACCGGAAAGGTTTCATTGGGCTGTATTAAAACTGTCCATACAGTACTTCAACCGTAGTTACCGTGATGAGGAGAGACGCAGCGGACACAGCGGAGAGTTGGAGTGAAACGTTATTTTTTTAATAAAAGTGTAACATAAGTTAACTGTAATATTCTTATTAATTCATATTTGTATTTCATTTTATTGTTTAACAGAGTTTAACCTCTGCCATTTCTGTATTTTTGAATATTTGAAAATCTAATAAAAAGTTAATAACAGTGTCATTCCAACCATATTTTTGAATATTTGAAAATCTAATAAAAAGTTAATAACAGTGTCATTCCAACCATAATTCATTCTGCACTGTCGATCTGTTGATAAGAAAAAGGCGCCCTGAACCACTTGTGATAACCGATATTTATGCAGGAGTGATGCAGCCATCATTCTATCAGATCAGCCTTAGACATTTGCCTTATTGCTATAAAACAGCTGTTTTATAATATACTTATCTTGAAACTCACTCCACAAATCATCACCTGTATCTGGGTACTTGACAAATATGCAGTCTTTGTAAAACACCATTTTGTTTTATGTAGAGTGAAATTAGATATTTGAGAAAAATTAGAGGGTCACTAAATTTTACTATTCTTTTACTTTTTGTTGGAACATTTTTGCTAAACTGTACTGTACCCTATGTTGTGAAAATGTCGTTAATATGTGGTATCAGCAGATTTCAGGCCTAAATCTAGTGACCAAATTCTTTGAGATAGATATTAACATATAACCCCGCACGGTGGTACAGTGGTTAGCGCTGTCTGGGTTCGAGTCCCGACTCTTTCTGTGTGGAGTTTGCATGTTCTCCCCATGCCTGTGTGGGTTCTCCCCGTGCCTGTGTGGGTTCTCTCCAGGTACTCCAGCTTCCTCCCACAGCTGTGAGTGTGAATTGTTGTCTGTCTCTGTGTGTTTGCCCTGTGTGGTGACCTGTCCAGGGTGTACCCCGCCTCTCGCCCGAAAAGATGCTGGGATAGGCTCCAGCCCCCCTGCGACCCTACTAGAAGATAAGCGGAAACAATTGGATGGATGGTTAACATAGAATGCTAGATTACTCCATAATCCACGTCAGATCACTTGTAACCCTACTCCTGATACCAAATACTCAAACACAACACTATGAAAGACTTCCAGAAGTACTCAATAGGATTAGAGCCACATGTGAAAAAAATGTTTTGTTTTTTTATTCTGATTTTGATCTAAGAATTTTGAGATTAAATTCAGGAGTATGAGGAGTATTATATATATACACATTATATAAATAAAGCAGCTGTTTCATTGTAGCAATAAAGCAAATCTCTATGGCTGATCTGACAGAAAGACGCCTTCACAAGTAGTGCCTTTTTTACTTTATAAACAGATCTACGGTTCAGAATGAATTCTAGTTGAAATTAAACTTAATATTAAAATGTTCAAAAACCATTTAGCTCAAATCTTTTCCAACCAACATCACAACCAGTGGTGTCTCTCCTGTATGTATGTACCTGAGCCTGTCTCTGACATCACTGCTGTCTTTACTGAATGTCAGTGAGATCACTGATGATTCTTTTACAGATTTGAAATTTAGTTTTGTAAGCAAGCAAGAGTGGAGGAAGAAGTATTCTTTATTTTATTAAAAGTAATAGTACAACAATGTAAAAATTATTACAAGTACTACATTTAAATCATCAACTAAATGTACAAAATCTTCTCCCCTTGATTGGGAAAGCACTTCAACATCCAGCCATCACCCAAAGTCTCAAAGCAATACAACAATATTGTACAGTTACAACTTGTTTCATCAGTAACTGAAATAAATTAACTCTGAATTTATTTCTCAAACAGAAATACATGAACTCAGACTGTCACAATGACAAAATAATTTAGTATACAGATAGATATGAGCAATAATGAAACGCAGTTAAACAATAAAAGAAAATACAAATGTGTAAGAATGGCATAAAACAATACTGTTAACTTGTGATACACTTTCATACAAATTTCACTGGTGAATGTTACCTATGCTCTGCATTTCAATGATGCTGTGATGAGGTCTTCCAGTTCATTTCAACCAGCCACTATGAAGCTTCAGTTACTGCTGCTGCCCTCAGTAACATACTTGTGTTTACATGTCTTCATATGGTTAATGCTGGTTGAACGATACATAAATTGTTCACCACAAAAACTGCAATTCAAAGGTTTCTCTCCTGTATGAACTCTCATGTGAACCTTAAAAAGCCACTGTCTATGAAATCTTTTCCCACAAACATCACAACCAAATGGTTTCTCTCCTGTATGGACTCTCTGGTGCACCGTAAGTTCGCCCTGTCGCGTATATCTTTTCCCACAAAGACTGCAACTGAATGGTTTCTCTCCTGTATGTACTCTCATGTGCATCTTAAGATGTTGCTGTTGGTTAAATCTTTTCCCACAAACATCACAACCAAATGGCTTCTCCCCTGTATGGACTCTCTGGTGCACCGTAAGATGATCTTGTCGGTGAAATCTTTTCCCACAAACATCACAATCATATGGTTTTTCTCCTGTATGGACTTTCATATGCCACTTAAGATTCCCCTGTCCCTTGAATCTTTTCCCACAAACACTGCAACTAAAGGGTTTCTCTTTTGAATGGACTTTCATGTGCCCATTAAGATCTCCCTGCCGCCTAAATCGTTTCCCACAAACATCACAACCACATGGTTTCTCTCCTGTATGGATTCTAATGTGCATTGTAAGGTCCCCCTGCACCTTAAATCTTTTCCCACAAACATCACAACCGAATGGTCTCTCTCCTGTATGGACTCTCATGTGCCCAGTAAGATGATCCTGTCGGTAAAATTCTTTCCCACAAACATCACAACCAAATTGTCTCTCTCCCGTATGGGCTTTCATGTGCCACCTAAGATTCCCCCGCACCTTAAATCTTTTCCCACAAACATCACAAACAAATGGTTTCTCTTCTGTATGGGTTTTCATGTGAATTGTAAGATGTAACTCTTGCTTGAATCTTTTCCCACAAACATCACAACCAAATGGTTTCTCTCCTGTATGTTCATTCATGTGTCTCTGCAGAATACACTTTCTACTAAATTTGTTCCCACACTCAGAGCAACTGAAAATTTTCTCACCAGAGTTACATCCTTTATCACTTACATGGACTTTTTTACTTTTCAAACCTGACTCAGGTGCTCTGGTTTCCTTCCAATCATTTTCACTGTCTTCAGTCTCGGAGGACTCTGTGGCCTCTTCATCTGTATCTGGTTGAAGATGACCATGTGGATCTACGTTCCTGTCTGGTTCAGATCCTCCACAGTCCTCTCCATCAGCCTCTGTTTCCATCTGTTCAGCTGAGCTGCTGGACGGAGGCTCTGCCTCTCTGCTCTCTTCAGTTCGGCTTCGATGAGGCTGTGAAGACTGAGGTTTCTCCTCATCATCTTCACTCTTCACATGGACAGGAGTGAGTGGGACCTTGGTATCATCAACTTCCTCCAGCCCTGGAAGCTGCTCTCCCTCCTGACTGGTGCAGAGTTCCTCCTGTTCCTCTTTAATGTTTGGGCTCTTTGGTTCCTCCTGATCCAGACTAAGGCTCAACTCAGGGGGAACCTCTTCTTTAATCATCAACAGATGCTGAACATCTGCAGGGAACAATGAAACACACACATTATGGACAACTGTGACTTCATATAGTCTTTACTCAATGTCAGTGACATCAGTGATGATTCTTTTGCAGATTTGCAGCATTCATTCTGAAAACAAGCAGCAGTGGAAGAAGAAGTATTCAGGTCCTTCATTAAAAGTAATAGTCCGACAAAGTAAAAAATAAGTGATTAGAAGTAAAAGTTCTGCAATTAAAATCCTTCTAATATGAAATATTTGTTTCTATTATTCCTTTCTGTCATTAGGTTCATCTATTGTATTATTGTATTATTATTAAGATCTTAATGGGTCATGGCGGAAGGCAGGTGTGTGATTCTTGTGAGTAAACAATTCAGAAGTTCTGTAGAAAGTTACTTCCTTCTCCAGTTTCGACAGAGGGAGAAGATGGGTATCGCCCCTTAGAAATGTGCCGTCACCCAGTGAAATCACTGGGATCTCTCTTCACATAGTTTTTTAGGCTTTTCAGTTTTCTGTCATTCTGCTGCTTTGCTTTTTTCCCCTTTTGTTGTTTTTGACCATGTGTTCTTTGTCATTTCTTTTGCCACATGATTTTCCTTTGTCTACACATACTATCTTTATGTTACAAGCTAAGGCAACACCAACTGAATTATATCAAACCCTTTAAACTAGATCGATAATCCTCTGTGAATGATAAAACGCTGTCTCCAGTTCCCTTTAATTTTATTTCATCTTACTTGTTTCATCTGGAAAACATTAATCTCCACCTTGACAAGTAATTGATTTTTTTTTTTGATTTTGTGATTTGGTGGAACTGACCCTTTAAACTAGAGATAAACAGTGCTTTTCACTCTATCCTACACTGTCTCCAGTTCCCATTAAATTTATATTAATCTAATTCATAAAATTACCGTTTTTTGAAAGTACTTCAGTCTGTGGGTCCTCCTGGATGCTGATCCTGTTCCGAGTTTCACTGATCTGAGGTCTGCCTTGCTTCCTCTGCTTAAACTGACCTCTGGAGGAAAAAGACCTGAAAGATGAAAGATAATCCTGATTTTAGTTAGTTTCCAATTAACACTTTCATTACAAAATCAGTTAAAGTCGGGGCAGGAAACTAAGATTTCTGTTTTAACTTTAGCAGTTGTAATGTCGACTTAATACATCAGTTGTGACTGGGCTGTAGTCCTTTTGGTTTCAAGTCAGTCAGCTTCATACAGTAAAATTGTGTCTGATATTATCTGGTTCAAAAAATTCATTTAAAACAGCATTAATACTTTTTCAACACGGTAAATCAGACTCATTGAGTTTTAAAGGAGAAAGTAATAGAATAGACACATATATTATTTACATATGTAGACAAAATAATAATGATAACAATAGTTATGTAGGAACCTTGATGGCGTTCCACTATTCAGATCCATTTTCTCATTGTCCTCATCTTCATCCTCCTCTTCCTGTACATGGCGGAGGCTCCTGCTGCACTTCACACCTGAACAAAATGATAGTTTATTCCAGCTCACTGTAGCCAACTTTATACAATCTTTTTATTTATATATCTGCAACCAACTTTAATGTGGCTAATTCACTGCCCATAAATTCGGCATGTAACATAACCACAGAGCGGCAAGACATGTGGGGAAAATAACTCTCAATCTGTGGACTTCGGTCATAAACAACCCGCCACAGCTGCAGCGCTGCAGAGGATGTCGCACTCGAAAACAGAGGAAAATAAAGATAATTTCAAAATGAAAACCAAAATTATGAACTCGTTAGTCCATTATAACAAAGCCGATTTAAAGAGTACGTCGCCTTGATTAAAGAACCGTCTTATTTTTGTAATTACAGGTATGTGCATGTGTTGACAGCCCGAGTAAATGTTAAATTACAAGATATTAAAATGTAGTTCGACGCGGCCTCTTCCTCTACAAACTGGGACTTTCCGGTGCCTGGATTTACATCTTTACGCCAAAAACGGAATCACCAACCGGCTTTATTGAGTATGATCCGAGGCTGCAGGAGAAGCTCCAGCTGTCTCCTCTGCCGATCGATCTCCTCTCTGAAGCCCGACGCCTCCTCCTCGTACCCGGCTACGAGTCCGTCCACGGCCGCTAAGATTTCCTGGGAGGCGGCGGCGAGTCTCTCAGTAACAAATCCTCTCAGAACCTCGGACTTAGACATTTTACTGCAACTCTCTGCTGTGTCCGCTGCGTCTCTCCTCATCACGGAAACCATCGTTTAAGCAGCCCTTTGTATGGAAAGTGTTGCTAACTTCTAGCATTGTTTACTAGTTTGACACTTTTCCGGTTTAGGTACGGCCATAAATGTCATCCGAGTAGAAACCGAAACTTTTTTTTCTTCATCAAGTAAAACAAACAAACAAACAAACAAACAAACAGACATAAATTAATCGTAACTAATAAGTATAATTTTTCTCTCTAAGTCTTTTGAAACTTGGTCCTGGTTCACATTTTATTTTTCATAGACAAATGATAAAATGTGATTTTTACCCAGGCAACATTTCCCACAAAAAGGAAAATCCACTCTTTATATATATATATATATATATATATATATATATATATATATATATATATATATAAAATTGCTGTTCTTATCACATCATTTAAACTACTTAACAGAACAGGACTAATACATTTTTTTTTACATATATATATATATATACATATATATAATAAAAGGATCACTGTCCAAATGTAAAAATACACCTGCAGTTAAAATTCCACTTAAGTAAGAGTTCAGAACAATTAGCTAAACAGTTTTAGTTTTTATTCCAGTCATTATTGCAATAACACACAACAAACGCAGGGGGGAGCCCCCTGCACAGAGCATCATGCTGTTGACTACAGATTTATCATGGCAGAGAAAAAGCAATGGTATGTTAGCAGCGACAGAATATACAAATTATACATTGTTTTCTTTAAAGAATGCAAACATATAAAATGTTTTCTGGGAGTGGGGAGAACAGAGGGACAGTCACCTAAATTAAAAAGGGCTATCCTCTTTACAGTGGCTGTTTTCAGACAAAACTTGTCAAGCTGTGCCTGGGGGGGTAGATGTTGTTGAAATTTTAATCATATTTCTGTAACTGGTATGTTTAGCTACTAGAAAACACTGCAGACCTTTAACACTCATCCTCGTTACTCCTCCCCTCAAGCTCTCTTTCTATTTTCACTGGCATGCTGGACTTTCTGGGCTTCTTCTTTGGCAAGTGGTCACCTGACTCCCACTGCCGCTGCTGATTGGTCAGCTCTCCTCGTCTTCCTTCATTGCAACCATACTGACTGTTGCGGTTTGCCATGGTGACGGGGCTGTGGTCAGGAAGGGGAGCAGGTGCAGTGTGGTTGGTGTTGAGGCTGAGCAAGGGTCGACAATGTTCAGTTTGATCTGCTGCAGGAACAACCAAGGGGATGAGGGAGGGAGGTGAGCCCACTGTACTGTGAGCTGGGCGGAGGGGAGGAGGAGGATGCGGCGGCACCTGGGGGTGCAGGTCAGATCTGTAGGTGGAGTCATTCTGGTTGGTGTTCAGGACTAGAGGGTGAGGAGAGGGAGGAGGGGAGTCAACTTGAGGGGAAGGGCTGTGCTGGCTGCCATGGTGGGGGTTTGTATGACTGTTCAACCCCTTTCTAAGGGTGTGTATGCGCGCTAATTTGTATGCATCATCATCCTGTTGCCGAAGTGTGTTGCTGGTCTCTTGTTCCCTTTTGTGTGTCTCAGAGTGAGTGTTTCTGTGGGTATGTGCGTCTCTGCTGCCGCTGGTGTGTAGCCGTGGGTTTGGGTTGGCGCTGTGACGGTTTCGGCTTCGCAGCGAGCTGAAGACCATGGTGCAGCCCACCACTGTGCAGCGATGTTTGATCTTCAAATGGACAGCGTTGTAGTGGATCTTCAGTGTTCCTGCACAAACAAGGATGAAAATGGTGTTGTTGATAAGTTGGTGCTAACAGACCCAACACCCCACAGCAGCTATTTCAGAGCTAGAAATTTCCCCCAAAGATTAAATCTAACCACATAACTCATGACAATGACAGAAGAGATTCCTGTGTGACAAACACATCAGCGTTTCCTCATTGAGAGAAACTGGGACAACATTCATCAGCAGGGAAATATGGTGGAAAGTCGCAAAATAAACCTGCTGGAGCTCCAAGACACAAGATCAACCGAGGACCTTGAAGTAATTTTCTAACACATTTCATAGCATATTTTTCTTCAATCATATCTATTTAATCTCTTTCTAAAGTTGAGAGTATCCTTTTGTTTTTGTTTTTTGTCATGAACTACAACAGGTACATACAAAACAACTGGCACATTTATACACATCACTTCAAAGTCCAGATTCAAATTTGTGATGTAACAAAGAAAAAATGTATACACAAAAGAAAGGGCTTTTGAATTGAACCCTGTGGAGTGTCAAGACATAAGATGAATGGAGTATGTGCCAGATATATTGAAAAGTGACAGGACCTCAACAACTCTACCACATCTATTTGCTTTGTAGGCTTCACAAAAGGTCATGTTGCTTGGCTGTTTTACTGAGAGGAATTTGATTGTCCAGGTGTACCCTAAAAAAATACGGGTTGTTAAGTAAGGATAAAGGATGGGATCTCAAATTTCTTCAAATTAACACAACAAGACCAGCGGAGGACCTCTAATTCCAGGCCTGGAATTAAATGCTGTAAAACCCAAGGACACAAGATTAGAGGAAGACTTTGACAGGAAAGCCCAAGCCACTGGAATAGAAGAGGACCTCCAACTGAACCCTGTGGAACCCCAAGACAAAATATAAGTAGAAGATTTTGAACTGAACCCCTGAGAAAGCCCAAGCCACAACATCAGAAGAGGACCTCCACCTCAACACTGTGGAACCTGAGGTATCAGACCACCACAGGATCTCGAAGCCCTGTCATACTCAATGATCCAAGATCAGTAGCTGACCTGTAATATAACTGTGTGGAATTTCTAGACTGAAGATCAGTAGAGGATCTCATATTGAATCTTATGGCACCCAAGGCCAAAAGACCAGCAGAAGACCTTGAATTAAACGCAGTGGAACCCCAAGACAAAAGGATCTCTAATTGAACCCATCACATTCATACCTTTGTCATAGAAGCTTTTTCCACAAACGCCACAGCAGACCCTCCCCTTACGACCTCCTGAGGGAGAAGGAGAAGGCAGGGAGCAGGGTGTAGGTGGGATAGGATGGAGGGAGGAAGACGAGGATGGAAGAGGATGGAGGGAAGAAGAAAATGAGGAGGCAGGAACAGGACAGAGGAAGGAGGAGGAGAAGGATGGGAGAGGATGAAAAGAGGAGGATGAGGAGCCCTGAAACTTCGGGTAAATCTTTGGTGGAGAAGAGGAGGAAATCGATGGATGGAGTGAGGAAGACATAGGGATAAATAAAGAGTTTAAAGAGGGAGAGAGTGATGAGATGTTCTCCTGTTTGGCCATGCCCCTGTGAAGGTCAAGCTCTTGGTTGCCGTGGATACAAGGGTTCAGACGCCACAGCGACCGGGCCGGGTTCGGCTTGTCAGGGTCCGCTTTGATTTTTAAAGCTAGTTCACCTTTGGATTGCGGCAAAATTGGATCATTCTCTTGCGTTCTCCTTCCTCTGTCCTGCCTGTGTCTCTCAGCCAGTTTGGTCCCGTTGGGCTTCTGTAGACATTGTGTTAGCTTCAAAGGAGGATCCTGATACAAGAAAAACAAGGGGGGAGGGGGTCAAAGTCAGTGGAGAAAACAAAATGATGTGTATCAAAAACTTGAAGAATCTTTTAATGTACTAAACTGTGCAAAGGTTTTGAGGAAATGTAGATGTTTAGACTCTTATACGTCTGCAACAGATGAGTATATGAGGAGACAGAAGACACTGCAAGATTCTTGGAAGTACCTTGAAAAACTGTGAGCAAGTTTACTGAGGAGTGCTGCTGCTGCTGCTACAAAGGCAAATGGTGGTCAAACCAAATACTGACCAAATGCCAAATATTGTCCTACTGAACACATTATATATGGGGTTTATTGAAAAATAAAAGCTATTTATGGCATTACTTTAGAAAGCATCCACACTTCCTAAAACATCTGCACAGTGCTGTAGATGGCAGGATGTTGTAATTCAATGTAATGACCTTTGTGGGAGAAACCAAACACTGGAAGGCAGAGCTTGGAAAATGGAAAGGCAGAAGCAAAGACAGTCCACTCGGAAAGTTTTCAAAATGGTGGACAGTGTCGTTGTGGTCAGCCAGACTGCCTTTCTCAAAACGGCAGACGCCGGCCACCAAACACGAATCTCCCATTGATTTCCTGACCGTCCCCGATGTTCCTCCGTTGTGCTCGATGAATGTGCTGATGTTTGACTGGCAGCTCTTGGAGGCGGGCTTTAGCTCTGGGTCAGAGAGGTAACTGACAGCTGCCAGGCACTGAAGCGTCATTAACTCAACGATAGGGCGAGTTTCACCAAAACGAAGGAACTGTTTGAGGATGAGCAGCTCTTCTTCAGGAGTCACCATCGTCCAGCGATCCAACACTTTCCCACTGGGATACTGGAGAGAAGGAAAAGCATTAACTCCCATTTTAATATTAGAAAAAGTCAGTTTGTTTAATTGCAAAACTATTTAGCAAGCACTGATTTTGATCAATATGCAAGATTGCAAGTTTACCATTCAGCCTTTATTCAATTTTAGTTCTCATGCCTCAAGCTGAAGCTGAAGTTTTTTCTTGTCTTAAAACATAAGATATCAATAAAAGAACTATAACATATATACTGGTGCTTATTGGTGTAGAATTACATCAGAACATCTCATAAGAATCAGTGTAGCTAAAGGTCAACCTCCAATATATGAGATTCAGTTGTTAATCCTACACTCAGTATCTATAAAGCTTATTTTTAACATCAGACATTGCATTATAAATAACATGTATCCGTGTTTACCTGCAGCATGTACCCTCTAACATAATCTCCCAAACTCCAGCCCAGTGTGTGGAGAATGTGGCCAACCTGAAGAAGACAAAAAAAAAGTAAACTCTTACACATTAAGTGTGACGTATTGATCCACTGCATTCCCACCAGACAGCTGGGTGTACCTGCTCTGGAGTCAGGATGCTGTAGAGTCGGTCCAACAGTATCTTCAGCCGCACAGGAACGGCTTCAGCTCCGTACAGAACCAGTGAGCTCAGGTCGAACACCAGCCCAGGCAGGGCCACCTCCACTGGGCCACAGCTGGAGGAAGGCTGGGCCTGGAGCTTCTCCAAGGCTGAAGAGCAAAAGGAGGCCAATGAATTACAGTGACATCATTTATCAAAAAACACTTTATCAAAAAATTAAATATATACAATAAAGACACAATAAAACATATAACATAATATATAATTGAAAAAATAGAAAAACAAAAACAGAGGAGGTGACGCAGGTCAGTGGTCACAACGTGGATGTCAAAGGCTCACAAAGTTTTGACACACCTGTTTGTCAGAGCAACAGATGTGTGTTTACCGCCTATTAAAAACGCCACCTAACCAGTGTGTGTGTGTGTGTGTGTGCAGATGCTCTCTCCAGATGCTCTCTGTGATGTGATGACAGCGACACCTGACTATATGTCACCGTAGCGACTGCACACATCTGCACCGTGTTTGTGAGGGTAAAGTCAAACTGCTGATTTTCTCTGCGGCACGAACCCTCAAAGTCACCAGAAGAGCAGGAGTGGAGGTTTCTGTTTTCGTTTTCTGAAAACGTGTCAAGAAGGTGTTTATTTTGTAGGAACCAGAAAGTACAAGAGCAGCTGCAGTCGGGGCCACAGTGAATATCAACTGTGGCAACATTAACCTGGTGGAACACGGACATTGTGGGGACACAAACCTTATTATTTTATATGTTTTATTGTGTCTTTATTGTAAATATTTAATTTTATGATAAAGTTTTGCATTTTATAAACTCAGAGGAATATTGTATATATGTTCACACTTTGTGTTATTGGAGCTACGGAAGTCTTTAAAGGAAACTGATGGATATTGACATGAGCTAGTTTTCACTTACCTACTAAATGATTTCATAGTTTTTTCTTAAAAACTGTAATATATAATGTAATATATTATATATAGATGGGACTTAATAACGTTTCATCTATTTTTAATAGAAAACCACAGCTATTCAAACTGTTCTGCATCTTTCCCATTTTACTGTGGCAACATTAACCTGGTTGAACATCTAAATTGTGGCGACAGAAAAGACAATCATTTCAAGTTTAACAACTTATCTCTAAACCATCAGGCCCACTAGTAATAATACCATTATATGTGTGTGTGTGTGTGTGTGTGTGTGCGTGTGTGTGTGTGTGTGTGTGTGTGTGTGTGTGTGTGTCTTACCGTGTGCCACCCAGCCATGTCCACAGCGATCACATGATCTGACTTTGGCACTTCCTGGTTTGAAACACACACAGCTGCAGCTGGACGCTGTACACCTGATAGACTGGTGAACAGAACAGCACATAGATATTCTTTATATGTTCCTGTTTGACAGCCAGACGAACATGAGAGCATTTATTGTATTATATTGTTTATTTGTAAATTTTATATATATTATTTTGTATTATTTGTAAATAACAAATAATGATAGGATACAAATACACAAAATACACAAATGTATATACAAAATATGAATGTCCTGAATTTTTTGTATTATTGTTAAACACACACACACACACACACACACACACACACACACACACACACACACACACACACACACACAGGTCTGTACCTCCTCAGTGTCTGGAGTCATCCTCATGCCTCAGTCCTGCAGTCACAACAGAAACATCAGCTCAACCACCTGATTGGTCAATCAAATAAAACCTGCCTCTGATTGGACAGTTCTGCAGATTATGTTCAATTTATATTAATCTTTGTGATAAAAGTTTTTTTTAATAATCTGAGACTTTTTTCTTCACTTGTTTCTCTGATGAATAAAAGACAATGGATTTATGATTTAATATTGAAACTGAAACATTAGTTACTATAAACTATGAGCTTTATCGTTTCTATATTTCTGTATTAATTTGAATTGTTCATGATTTACTCATAGGTAAAATTATTATTATTATCATTATTATTATTCTTGAGTAGATTTCATAATATTACAATCTATACTTCCTACAATCCTACTATGCTACTGTTACATTTTAATATTGTTACATTTATTATTATATTTGACATTCATATATGACATCTTATATATACTGACTATTGTTTTTTTTCATTTCATTTTTTATGTGAAGAATGAGTGAAATAAAAACATTTAATTTAAAATGAAACAGTAAACTAACAATGTTGTGCAACAAAAATAACTTTATTAACTTTTATTATCATACTCATGTGATTAAAATAAATAAAAAATACTCACCTATCTGTTTGTTGTTAATTCACCACTGATGGAAAAAAATAATCTTCCTCTTCTCAGTTCATTCTCCTTCAAAATGTTTCTCGATCTAAAGATATTTTCTTGGATTTATTTCTTTGAGTCTTTATCCTGCATCTTAGTTGTTTGTTCCTCAACGTTTCTTCAGAAACAAATCTCTACTTTTCTCTCCCTCTGTCTGTGATGTAAACACCGTATATATACAGTGATTTTTCTTTTCTTTTCAAGCCTCTCCGTCTCCGACTCCTCCCTCTGACTGAATCAGTGTGATTGGACGAGGATGGATGAACGTGTGTGTTCAGCTTCTTCCCTCCTTTTTCTTCTTTCATTCTTTTGTCTCCAGTCCCACAGAAGGTGATGACGATGATGATGATGATGATGATGGTGTGAACAACAACATGAGGTTCAGGTCCTGAATCAGCCACAGATCAATGGCAGAGGGAGGAAGAAGAGGGAAATATTAAAGAGCAACACACAGTGACAAATATGATGAATGTGGAAACATCAGCACATGGGATTTGCTCCGATCTTATTTCACAGCGTTGACACTTTTCAACTCTTCAGACAAGCAGCAATTTCACATTCGCTCCTCGGACAAACTGATTACTGCACTTTGCCCATGTGTAAAATACAGTGATGGAAGAAGTACTCAGTTCCTGAAAGTACCAGTGTCCCAGCGTGAAAACACGTCGTTACAAGTAAAACTGAATTAAGTATAAGAAGGAAAGTATAATCATTAAAATGTGCTACTGAGATACTGTAATTATTACAGTAAATCACATTATTAATCCTGATGAATCAGTATGTAAACTGCATTTTACTGTTGGAGTTTGTTCAGCGGTTCCCAGCCTGAGATGATTAACGAGAGAGGAAAGAAGATTTTTAAAAAAGTTCTGCTAAATCTAAATCAGTTTTCAGTTTTTAGACTTTTTCATTTGTGACATATTGTCAGTTTCACCTATAAAGAGTTACTGAATGAAGCTTTCTGAGAAGGTTAGAGGGGAAAATGTTTTTTTACTGGAACAGAAATCGACTCAAACATCTGAAACATGACGAGGAGACAAACACCTCATGGCTTCATCTTCAACAATATGTTGTATTTTATATGTTTTTTGTTGATGTAAAATATCAATCTGAACAGCAGCAAGTAACTAAAAGTATCAAATATAAGTAGTAAACAGTAAAAAGTACTTTATTTCCCCCTGTAACGCTGCGGAGTAGAAGTATAAGTAGCACAAAGTACAAATGTACTTAGTTACAGTTCACCACTGGTAAAATGCTGTGACACCAACATGTTGCATTTAATGTCTCACAATTTAAAAACGAAAAAACATTCGATTGGAAAAAAAAAAACACAAATTTAATCGATAAGAAAATGAAAGAAACGTTTTTTCAGCTGTCGATCAAAAAGGGAAGAACTCAGAGCACAAGGATGAAAATAAATAAATAAATAAATGAATAAAACAGCTGTCCTTGGTGTGTCCGTCAGCCCCTGTGTCCCCCGGGAAACAGCTTCCCTCTGGGAGGAGGGTTCCCCCCCCGAGGGTCAGATTGAATCAGGGTGACAGTAGGGCACCTGGCCTGCCGCCACACACACTGATTAAACTAAGACACAACAAAACAACACAAGGTTAAATGAATTATAAAAAAACACCCAAATGTCTGTGTGCCTTCATCAAGTTTTCACGACTTCAACAGATTTTAACTGAGAAAAAGAAGAAAACTGCATGAAAGTAAAGTAAAAGCAGGAACCTCAGCAGCAGCTGTGCAACCCAACAAAACCTGAGAATCCAAAATAAAGATTCAAAGGTCTGTGGACATAACGGTGGAAACAATGAAGATATTTGGCTTCTTTTCTCATGAATTTGTTTCTTTGTGTTGTTTTTGTCTTGTCGCATTATTTCACGTTAAACACAGAAGTGAAGTTTTCTGCAGCGTTGCCGTGGCGCCGAGTTTCTTCTGCTGCTGTTTGACTTTGTTGTTCTTTTGGTGTTGAACAAACAGCGTGACCTGGTTCAGTGAGTTTAGAGAAGAAGACCTAGCCAAGAATACAGGACCAGGACACACACACACACACACACACACACACACACACACACACACACACACACACACTCTCAGGACAGCGAGGAGGTGGTGCTGCTGCTGCGTTTCAAATACGACCCCTCTGAGAGGTTCTGGTAAGTAAGTGTGTCAACGAACGGCGTTGATCACACACACACACACACACACACACACACACACACACACACACACACACACACACACACACTGAGTGTTATCGTCTGATATTCTAATTAGTACGACATCAAAACAGGAAAGAGGTCCACCAGCTCCCAGCAGACACACAGTCTGTCCAACAGCCCTACCTTCACTGTGTGTGTGTGTGTGTGTGTGTGTGTGTGTATGTGTGTGTGTGTGTGTGTGTGTGTGTACCTCGTATCAACAATATAAGAAACTTTTCAGGTTATTTCAGCTCCAGGGAGGAAAAACTGTGAAGTCGTTGTTTCTTTCTTCCAGATTCACGTCTCTTTCTTTCTGACGGGAGATTTTTTTAAATTTTTCTTCAGATGATCATGTTTACACAAAGTGTTCAGGAATTATCAATCAATCAATCAATCAATCAAATCAACAAAAACATTCTGACCTTTAACTCAGGCCTTTGCAGAAGCGTCTCACACCTGGACTCAGGTAGTTTCCTCTCGTCCCGTCAGACTCCATCCCTGGAGAACAAGTGAACTTCCATCCTCAGCTCTCTCCACTCAGACGTGTCCTGGAGCTTCAGGTCACCGTGGAGCTTAAAGGTGAGGAGTCACCCCTCGCTCAGGTCTGTGAAGGACAAAAAAAAAATCATAAATGAAAACATTTTGTAATGAAAAATGCAATTTTTGTATTTCACCATTCATTTATACATTTATTCATTTGAAGGTTTATTAATGTTTTTCCACATTTCTTTATTAGTTTATTTGTGTCTGTATGTTAATTGGGAAGGCGGTCCGAGACCAGTCTAAAGCAGGATTGGTTATAGTGGTGTGAAGGTCCTTCGTACCTGTCGACCTATATATACATATATATATATACATCTCAAGGAGATTTAAAGCAAACAGGAAGCAGCTGACCAGAGCAAAGTGTCTGTAAATGAGATATTTCAGTGTATAATTACTAAAAACATGTTTTCACTTCATCATTATGGATTATCGAGTGACGACTGATGGACAAAAAGGTTTTATCCATCTGAAATTAACTATCCGACACAATAAAGTGAATGATAAACACCAACACGAGTTCTTTTCAACCGCGATTCCCCGTCCACCCTTTACAACACCATTAGGTTCACAGGGTCTGTCAAGTATTTATGGGCGGAAACATGAAAAACTTGCAGCATGGTCCTTTAAAAACTAGCGTGCCCCCCCCTCCGTCACTTTTCTGTCATTTGTCGCCACAAACGTCGGCTTCAGGAGGTGAATTTTACATGACACTAAAGTCTCCGTGTGTGGTGAACATTATGTATTTAACAGGACATTTTAAAGCTCTTCTGTGTGTGTGTGTCCCCTCACATATGGTTTGTCTTTCTGAGTTTGTGTGTGTGTGTGTGTCCTCTCTTTCTTCTCCCCCACTCTTCCCATCCTCCCCCCCCCCCCCCGTCTCTCCAGTCCCTTATCCCACCCCTCTGAGTGCATGTGTGTGAGATCCCTCCCCCCTTTATATCTGTGTCATTACACCAAGGTTTCTCTTTGTAGCCGGTCCAACTTGGCACCGGTGCAGTCACTGTTGGGGAGAGTGTGTGTTTTAAGTGTGTGTTTAAATGTGTGTGTGTTGTCGCAGGTACAAGTAGGACAGCAGGCAGGGAGGAACAAGGACTCGCCGAGATGAAACATGAAGTTTTTGAAATAAAACGGCAGAGAATATTCATAAGGGAGATCCAGAACAAAAACAGGACACTGACACTTTTTCATTCATTGTTTTCTTTTCTTTTCACTTTCTTTTTTTTATGTTTCTTTTTTTTCCAACAAACAGAAGGCTGAAAAATCATAAAACAAGTTTTTCTATCTTCATGGCTGTAGAGACACGGCCGGATCAACCCATCACAGGGGGCTCGGGGCAAGTACTTACAGTTGCCCCCCAACACCACCACTCAAAAATCCATGTCAAGGTCCACTTACGAACTTCCTTTCTGTTGCATCACATGGTCTTCATCATTTAACGGAGTTACAAAACACATCCGTCTCTGTCACAACTGCTGATGTAGACTGTGTGATAACGGTTGAAAGCTCAGGGAAAAAAAAGCTTGCAAGTTGGGATTGTTTTTGTCAAACTAAAAAAGTTAAAGTTGTTAAAACTAGATTTTAAAATAAAACCCGTCTACAAGTGACTGAAAGCACAACTGAGGTGGGAGTCTGGGGCCCTTAGCACCAGCGCTAATCCAGCACCACCCCACCACTCTGCACAGCCCCGATATTCAATGAAAGCCCCCCCCCCCAAATGTTTAATCCTGTTACAAGTGTAACGAGCAGCGGATTAAAGTGCGTCTCTTCAGTCTGCTGTGAGATCCGCTGATGACGGCTCTGAAAGACTAACATGGGATTAAGTCGGGGGAACGTCTTTGGACGTTTCGTGGTGTCGAAGTCGAGCATCAGGCTCCACGACACCATGAGATTTTGTTTTTCTCCAAGAAAAATATATAAGATAATCTTTTTTATTGCCTATATTGGAACTCCAGCAACATGACTGAAGCATTACAATGAGGTTTCAGTTTCACTGAAGACTGATGGTGTCACTGTCCCATTTCCACTGTCCTAACGAAGGCTTCAACAAGTGGATCCTTCGTGACCCGATCTATCCCAAACATTCATTGTGAGTCGGTAATGAAAGCAGGAAGACGCAAAATCCTCCGTGGGCCAGACCGTCTAATATCGGTTCGGCCTTTGCAGTCTACAGCGGCGATGAAGGACCACACCTTCGTACACCTGGTCCTTCCCACTCATCAGTGAGGACTGAAGAAGACTCTCGGGTTTGAGGGAACATCCTCAGGAATATGTATCTGTAGAGAGTAGTGGTGTCTGTACACACAAGTCGACAATCTTATGACCTCGTTGTTGGTGCAGTTTCATAAGGAGAGATAAAGGACATTAGGGTGTATGTTAGTCTTAGACATGAGATTTGATTTGCTTCCTGTTGTTGCTCCGGCAGCTGCTGGTCATCCTGTCAGTGATCCTGTTGTGTCGCTGGGCGCCGAAGCTCCTCTTTGTTTTGGGATTATGTGTCTTATCCTCAGGGGGGATTCACCACGTCTCACCCTGCTTCAGATTTGTCACTTGCAGCAGGATGCAGAGTCTGGTTTTCTATGGTTTCCGTCGGGAATTAAACTTAATCTGTCGTTTGAGAGCGGGACAGACTCTGACCGCAACACTGGTCGTCTCCTCCTGAATGAGCCTGTCATTTCTCCCTGAGGGAGCGCGTGTCAGGGGCTAAAGGGAAACGCCGGAGTCAGCTGTCCTGTCGGTGATGCTAAGCTAAGCTAGCCGATCCATTGAAAGCAAGTGACAGGAGAGTCAACAGATGAAGAAAAGAGTTTTAATTGCAGCAGTCACACCAGTCACCCCCAAGACACAGCGAAAAGACGACAAGACTGCAAAGTTTTCCCTCCTCTAAACAAACAAACAAACAAACAAACAAACAAACAAACAAACAAACATCTGTGAAGCTGCCTGGTCTGACACACAGACCACATGACCACAGCCCAAGTCCACCTGGGCAGAGACGAGGAAACCTGAAACAGCATGAACAGGGTGGCTACGGTAACAACCTCCGTCACTGCAGCCAATCAGCATCCTTCCTTTTCTGCTGCTTGTATTTTACTCGTCTGTTTGTTTGTGAGCAGGAGAAACTTTACGGAGCGATGGATCACAGGCCAGAGATGAACCCGTCTCATCTCTGGGCAGATCCGGATCGTTTACTAGGATTTTGTTTCTGTTCCTCCGCGGCGGCGACAGTCAGAACCGGAGGACATTTTGTCTTCAGGTTGTCTGTCCGTCCAGAAGTG